CCTAGGGCAGTGATGGCGAACCTATGACACGCTTGTCAGAGGTGACACGCGAACTCATTTTTTTGGTTGATTTTTCTTTGTTAAATGGCATTTAAATATATAAAATAAATATCAAAAATATAAGTCTTTGTTTTACTGTGGTTGCAAATATCAAAAAATTTCTATATGTGACACGGCACCAGAGTTAAGTTAGGGTTTTTCAAAATGCTGACACGCCGAGCTCAAAAGGTTCGCCATCACTGGCTTAAGGACTACACCTAAGGGCATCGAGCTGACGCGGCCAGCATAGAAACGGCGACTTCAGATCCCGTGTTAGGGCTGGTGAAACAGGCACAGCATCCCCACAAACACCCAGGGGGGAGAAAATGGTAGGGGCTACGTTTCTAACTGTGCCCCTAACAGTATCTTGGACTTTTTCAGTAAATACATAATAAAAATTCACTGGGCAAACCTCTATTGCGTGCCTGTGGTGCACCAGGTACTGTTCTAAGCACTGGGGCCACTGCAGCGAACCCAACAGACACTAATCCCTGGCCCCAGAGTTTACTGGTTCAGGGAGACTACGCTCAACAAGATAACTGTGTAAAAAGAGAGTGCCTCCCTTGGTGACCAGTGTCACCTGGAGCCACACAAAGCTAGGAAGGGTTATAAAGGGGCAGGGTGACGTGTGTGTGTGGGGGGGGGCCTCAATTTTCTCCCCACACCAGGGAAAGGTATGGTGGAGTTGAGACCTGAGGGATGGGAGGGAGTCAGCCAGTCTCTGTTCAAGAATAACAAGGAAGGGGGATTCTTTCCCCCTCCCCACGTGGGAGTCTGTACTTGTTCTTCAATAAATTTCCACCTTCAATATACAAAATAATAATGATAATAATAATAATAAAAATAACAAGGAGGGAGGAGACGGAAGGAGGGAGGTTGAGCTCTGAGAAAATGGAGTCGGCTGCGAGAGGGTCTTTTGACCACTTGAAAGTCTTGGTTTTTGGAGAGGTGAGTCTGGGGGGGGGTGAGCAGAAGAGGATTACGATCGTGTACACATCTACTCTGCTTCTACACATGGAACAGCCATGAAAGCCAAATGGCCAACTGTCTTACCTCTCTCCACTCAGCCTCCTTGAACTTCCCTCCTCAAAGCAGCTCTTTCAGATCACTGTTTGAAGTGGCATCAACACCCTGCCCCACCCTCCAACCCTTACAAGTTTTCTTTTCTTCCTGACACCAACCACATCATAATACAGAACGGTTTCTTGACTGTCCGCTCCCTTCCCCCACCCTATACAAGGCTCCTTAAGGTCAGGGACGGAGTTTGCCCTCCCCCAGACTCCCCAGCCTATCTTTATTGTTGAAAGTATTACAGATGCCCTCCTTTTTTTCCCCATTGACCCCCAGGCCTTCACCACACTATTGTCTATGTCCACGGGTTATATATATGCATATAAGTCCTTTGGTTAATCTCTCCCCCTCCCCCCCTACCTTCCCTCTGAAATTTGTCAGTCTGTTCCATGCTTCTATGTCTCTGGATCTATTTTGTTCATCAGTTTATTTTGTTCATTAGATTCCACATATGAATAAGATCATTTGTTAAATTTTTTTTTTTTTTATTTTAAAGAGAGAGAGGAAGGGAAAGGGAGAGAGAGAGAAACTTCAATGAGAGAGAAACATCAGTTGGCTGCCTCTTGACCTCCCCCTACTGGGGATCAAGCCTGCAACCCACGAACCGGCAACCTTTTGGTGCTCGGGATGAAGCCCAACCAACTGAGCCACACAGGCCAGGGCGCAACAAATATTTTTTGAATGAACGAATGAAATTGTCCTTGAGGATCAGTAGGATTCTGATAGAGAAGAGAGAATTGCAGGAGTTCAAAGAGTGACCTTGGAAAGTTCTGTGAGATAACTGGCTGGAAAAAGGGAAGGGACCTGGCTGGAATCAAACCCGGGACCCTTCAGTCCACAGGCTGAAGCTCTATCCACTGAGCCAAACCAGCCAGGGCTCTATATAATTTGATTACTGAATTATAATGCCCTTCTACCTGCAGGATTCACATTACACCGCTGACTGGGAAACAGAAGTGCGGGTGGAAAGGCAGTGGGAGGATGGAAAGGGCTTGCTGGGCAGAATGGGCTATAAGAGTGAGGAAGAGAGAGCGTGCAGAAGGCACCTGAGGCTCCGGTCTGCCAGGTGGATGGGCGGAGCCTCCCGCAGTGAAAGCAGAGAGGACTGGGGCCATCCTGGAAGTGTTTGGTTTGAGGTGCTGAGGACGGTGCCATGTGGCAGTTGGGAAAAGAGATCTCCACCCATAAGGCCGTTTTTTAAAAGAGCTGAATAAGGAAAGCTGCGGGCTATGAGAGCAAGATGAGGAACCTGTTAGCAGCAGAGGGAAGGGGCTTGCTAAGCGAGCGGAGGTTGTGTAGAACTAACCAGTCGTGCATTCTAGTTGGGATGATGGAGGACTGGTGTATGTCCACCATGGTCCTCCCGCCCCAACACCACTCCAAGGAGGAGGTCTCAGGTGGGAAGGCTGGGCTGATGGTAAATTATAACTTCTACAGCAGAGGGAAGGAGGGTCCTTGGCAAAGACCACGTCCTTGCAGACATGCCTCTCTGGGCTTCAAAGAGTGACGTTGGCATGGCCGTGGGAGAAGCTTGTTGGCTGGGAAAAGGGAAGAGAGGGAATGAGATAGGAAGATCGGGGAGGCTCCTGACTGGGAGCCTAAGTCCTGGGAGTCACGGGAAGGCTGTGATAGATTGATATCATTGTAGGCTTGCTTGCATTTTTGCCTTGCCTCCCCCTGTATCTTTCTCTGATGCAGTCTCCAACTAGACTTTCAAAACTAGTGGTTTTTCCTCATTGGCAACAGCTCTACACAGTCACATTGTGGAATTTGAAAGTCATTCACAGAAGCTGCAAGTGTGAAATATCAGTCAGGCATGGGCCTGGGGTCCAAGCTCTTGGCCGGCCCACTGGCGGAAGCAGGCGGCCTGGGCTTGCCGAAACTTGCTTTTCCATAATCACTCCCGGGGGGGTGATGAGCTCTGAGAAGGACAAATACAGAAGGCCCTGTGGATTCCCTGGAGGAAAGCCTTTAAGAGGGCTCGGTGTGCCCTAGCAGCGGGTTTGGCTCAGTGAATAGGCCTGCGGACTGAAGGGTCCCAGGTTTGATTCCAGTCAAGGGCACATGCCAGGGTTGCGAGCTCGATCTCCAGTGGGGGGCATACAAGAGGCAGCCAATCAATGATTCTCTCTCATCATTGATGTTTCTGTCTCTCCCTCTCACTTTCTCTCTGAAATCAACAAAAATATATTAGAGGAAAAAAGAGGGCTTGGTGAACTTCTGTCTCTGGCAAGAGGGATAGAATTCAGATCTTAATTTGAATTTTAAAATGTGCCAAATGCGTTCCCAGCTTCTGAGCTATTGCGCTTAATGTAAGACTAGCAAGTCTAGAGAGCCCTTAGTTAGACAGGAAAAATGTGTATGTTTTAGTGTTTCAAAGCTTTTCTTCTCTTTTGGAGTCGAACTTCTGGGAGGAAAATCCTAGCACTTGTGGTTATGGAAGGGATTCCACAGCAGTGACATAAGCAGGGAAGTGATGTGTGTCTACGTGTTTTCCTGCACGGGGTCTCTGAGCGGCCTTGTGAGCTCGGTAACCAGCAGTGAGCACTGAATTCGAGCTGCGCAGGCTTTCTCCATCGCCCCGTCCCAGCCAAGAGCAGCTGGGAGGCAGCTCTGCCCTCAAATGTGCGCACTCGGGTCTGACTCGCGGCTCCTCCGGGTGGGTGCAGGGCGGACTACACATGTGCACAGCACTGGGCTGGCCTTAAAGGACCACCCAGAGGCCTGAGCCCCAGGCCCTACACCATGTGGGTCAACTCAACACCAGGCAGTGGACAGGGTATGAGTGGGGGCCAGGACCACTCAGAGACCAGTAGCTGGGAGCCTAGAGCACAGGCTTGGAGTCAGAGCTGTTTTCACCCTTGTTTACCCACTGATTGGCTGTGTGAACTTGGAGAAGTTGCAAAAGCCAGCCAAATTTTCTCGTTCTTCCCCTGTGTGTGGTACGCCATTAGCCTTCTCATAGGTTGTCCTGGGAATTGAGCGAGGGATTGATGGGAAGTTCTGAGCAGGAGCTTGACCTGTAATGACTTGGTTGGTGTTTGATAAACAAGGGTTCCTGTGGTCATTATTATTCAGAGAAGAGGCAGGCTTTGTGGTTGGGAGGAAGCCTGGCAGGGTCCATGAAGGGGAGAGACCATATTTTTGTTGAATGAATGAATGAATGAATGAATGGGGTGGATTTGAGCCCAACAGAGCCAGAAGGAGTTGGTTCCAAGGAGGGTGAATGAAAGGCATCCCATTTTAAAGGAACAATGATTATAAACCTGCATGGGCCGCTCTCCTAAGGCTTTGGAGAAAACAAGTCCCTCTGGACCTGGCCTCCACCACGTATGTACACAAATAGACACATGCTCCACACACACAGAGACCCACACAACGCACAGACGCACAGCCCTGAGGGTACACTTGGTCACACTCAGACACACACACAAAGGCCCATCCCTCAGAGACGTGTACAGATGCATGGATACAAACAGACACACAGAGACATACATGCCATCACTCACGCCATCACACACGCCATCACACACACCATCACACACAGGTGAGCTGGTAAAATAACAAGGACAGTGACACTTGTTCTAGCACTTTCACTTTTCCAAGCCTTTTTGGGGGGGAGGGGGTGGAGTAAGGATATTTTTTCCATTTATTTTTATTTTTCAAATATATTTTTGTTGATTTCAGAGAGGAAGGGAGAGGGAGAAAGCAATAGAAACATCAATGATAAGAGAGAACCCTTGATTGCACGCCCACCCCGCCCCTTGCTGGGGACCGAGCCTGTAACTTGGGCATGTGCCCTGACCAGAATCAAACCCGGGACCCTTCAGTCCACAGGCTGACACTCTATCCACTGAGCCAAACCGGCTAGGGCTCCATTGATTTTTAGAGAGAGTGGAAGTGAGGGAAGAGAGAGAGAGGGAGAGAGACATCGATGTGAGAAAGACACATCCATCTGTTGCCTCTCACACATGCCCTGACCAGGCGCGGGAATTGACAGGAATCGAACCCACAACCCTCTGGTGCACAGGCTGACCCTCTAACCACTGAGCCATGCCAGCCAGGGCTCTCCAAGCCTTATTTTCCACATCCTAGAGCCCGCCTGGCTTCCCCCACCAGTCGTACTTCTGCTGAGGGGATGGTGTCCTCCATCAGGACAAGGGTACAGGGGTCTGCTGAGCTCCCTCCACCCAGGCCTTCCTTCTCCTGCTGTAGCTGGGGTGCTGACGTCCACATTTCACACCTGGTGGGGCTGTGGGGTGGGGTGGGGTGAGAGGGGAGGATCTGTGAATGTAATAAAGTCCTTGGGGTTTGCCTGCCCTGTGAAGCCACAGAGCTGATGTTACAGCGGTAACTTTCCTTCTGGGCATTACGCATCGCTGGCTGGAATTCCAGCCTGGCTTCCGAGGTGGGGAAAGGCAGGAGGGGCCGGGCCCGCGGCTGGTTTAGACCTCAGTCAGGCCCTTTCTTGGCTCGCCTCTGTCCACGTGTCTTGGTGGCACGGGTCCTGTGGCCTGAATGGAAGCTGTAAAGAATCTGGGATCCAAGCTGGCCAACATCATCTTGCCACTGGCGGCCTTCCTTCCACTCCACGTGGAGAGGAACCAGGGCCAAATGCCATCACTGCCGGCCACATACTTTCGCCGCCCAGCAGGACTGGTGGGCAGGGCCTGGCTTTGCACCCTGAAGCCAGTGGCGAGGAGACACGAATGCCTGGGCACCCAAATAATGGCCCTGTTCAACCTTGTGGTTCATTTGCATTTGCACCTTTGCTGGCATTTGGGTCGAGTCTCTGGGTTCCCCCCTGCCAAGCCCGGCCCCACCTCTTCCCCACAGCCCAGGTCAGAGCCACATACCTCGGGAGCCCTGCCTCTAGGTGGCCCTGGGGAGGCAGTTGGAGCCAACCAGCTTTCTCATATGGATCATGGGAGGGCAGCAGCTCTAACGCACCTCGTTCTGCAGTGTGAGGACGACACGAGGGAAAGCACATGAAGCCTCACTGTGGGGCTCACGCGCAGTAGCTGTTATCAGTTTTCATTTCGTTGGATCCGAGTGTGCATGTGGGGCTGAGGACAGGGGGCGGCTGGAGGGGAGGCAGAATCAGTCATGTCGGGCCGTGGGCACCTCTCTAAGTAATTGGGCATTACTACATGGGCACGAGCGGACGGTCAAGGGACAAGATTACAAAGAGCTTTCTGGTGGCTGGCCTGTGGCAGATGGATGGAGGGGGAGATGGAGGCAGGGGCTCAGCAGGGAGCCTGGCAGAGCTGGTGGTGGCTCCATGTGCAGCGGCAGGGGCAGAGAGGAGGGGCTGGAAGTGAGAGGTTAGCAGGGAGCACGGTGTTTGAGGGAGATTGGGTGAGCCTCGGAAAAGCATAAACTCCGGGGCAGCCCCCCTTCCTCTCACCCAGTGTGGCCTCTCAAGGCCCCTGTCCTCCTACCGAACCCCTGTGACCCGGAAGGAGGCGTGGGGCAGGGACATTGCTACTCAGTGTCGGGGTGTGGGGAGGAGAGCTCACCCCCAGCTGTGATGAGGCAGGAGTCTGCCCCCCACTGAGCCTCCTCTACCTCCTTCACCGGGACCCGCCTCTCTCACTCACTGTCTCGGAATGACGGGTGGGGCTAGGGGTGAGTCGGGGCCTTTCCAAAGGCCTCCACGCATTAAGAATCGTTCCCTTTCCTGCCACAGACTATGTCCACCCTTACCTCCTGGTCCCCAGGGCGTGTCCCCCACTAAGCAAGCCTGGGTCCCTGCACACACTCCCCTCCATGCTTCTCTCCAAGCCCTACTCCTACTCTCCTGGGATGTTCTCACTTAGAAATGTCGCCCCGGATACGGACTGGGTGGTGTGCAAGGTAGCACATCAGCCTCAGGGTAGCTGAGGCTCCTCTGCCTGAAACTTCAGTCTTAGGAAAGATACACACACACACACACACACACACACACACACACACAGAATCACAGTCACCCACACACACACACACACATAGAATCACCAGACACTCAACACACACACAGAATCACACAGTCACTCACACACACACACACACAGAATCACAGTCACCCACACACACACACATAGAATCACACACAGTCCTGCACACACACAGTCACACACATGCATGCACACATATGCTTTAGAGTAAATACAAAACCCAAATTAGTTACAATGTAGAACGTGAAAATTCAAAGAGCACGTTCTCTCTCCTGCTGTAGTTCGAGAGCCTGCAGGAGGGCTGCCTCTCTCCCCAGGCTTTGTGGTGGGACGTGGGAGAGGCTGCTGGGCCCTCCTAGTCTCCTGATGGCCCAGGTCGCCCCTGCTCCCTCTCCTCGGGTCCCCGCAGTCACACTGCCTCCCATGCGAAGCTTTATCACCACGGCCTTGTGCTGTGTGCTCTTGGGCAGTGCCCGTGGCCCCTGCAGGGCCCGAGGATGGAGGAGGCTAGCCGAAACCCCTCTCCACACCCGGCCAGGAAGGTAACCATGTCCTTCGGTGCCTCCTCCTTCCCAGAACCTGAACATCCAGGTGGAGGACATCCGGATCCGAGCCATCCTCTCCGCCTACCGCAAGCGCACGCCCGTGACGGAGGGCTACGTGGAGGTGAAGGAGGGCAAGGCCTGGAAGCAGATCTGTGACAAGCACTGGACAGCCAAGAACTCCCGCGTGGTCTGCGGCATGTTCGGCTTCCCTGGGGAGAAGATGTACAACACCAAAGTGTACAAGTAAGAGGCCCCTCCAAAGCACTGTTTCCTGGGGGGTTGCCGCTCTGTGAAGAGAAGGCTCCTGCGGTGGGCGCTGAGCAGAGGGGCTCCGCCAGCGGCTGTCAGTGCAGGCCTGGCCGCTGGGGAACTCACACTCCTGTGGATGCAGAGGCGGGGGGCGGGTGCAGGGTGTGTGCA